TTACTGTTTTCCTGAATCTCTGGCCTTCTGACAAATAAACTTTGGTAGATCTGCCCCTGTCTGTGCACATTGGCTGACAGTGACAGGCGGCCGGACCCTCTTCATCTGTTAACATTCTTACTGAAGGCTTTCTCTGAAGTGGCAGAAAGTTCTTCTGCCCAAGCACATAGCAGGCCGTAAGTGTAAAGAAATTAACATGCCCCCAAGAGTATGTGTCCCACAATGACTTGCAAGGTTCAGGGTAAAACACCTCAGCTCCCTTGCCCTCAGGAGCAGTTACTCTGAGGTGGGCTTCTTGGTGTGATTCCCAGGGTTCTACGGGGCTAAGCATCAGTTTAACTTTCCCTGCCCTTTCTCACATCCAGTATTTCCTGGAAATACCTCCCAAATAAAATACATTTACTGTAATTCTTGTCTCAGGATCTGCTTCTGAAGGAACCTTATTAAGACAGTATGACACCCCAAGTTCATTGAGGTTGCATATTTAGGTTCTGAGTAATTTGATTATGGGTCATCAGCTATAATGCATTTATTATAATGCAAGGCAAATAAGTTAATGTTTTTAAAATTCTTAATATGCTTTGAAGCTGTGAAAACATGTAGCTTAAACATCTGTTTGATTTATTTACTTCAGTTCCATAACAGTAAATTCAGCCAGAAACATGTTTGCTCATATAAACTGAATACTCAGGGGTCTGTTGAAACTTTCCACATTTCAGTTACTTTGTTTGGTGTTGCTGGAATACATCTGTCATCTCTACCACCTCCCTAACAAGTGGAAATAATCATAGCACTGCTTAATTATTGTTGTGAGACACATGGCATATATGAAAGTGTCAAGCAAGTGTTAAATAACAAACATGGAATACTCCACTTAGGGTGCCCGCCCCAAAACAGATTGAACTGTACTCCTGTTTAGAGTTGGTATCATTGTTCTGTATACCAGTGGTTAAAACATTCTTTCATTCAGTAGATTCCCTGGTCACTCCACTTTATTCTGAGCATGAACATATCCAGATCACCATTTTGTTTATGAAGTTCTGATAATGCAGAAATGACAAATCAATATCAGCCTAGAATTACTAATGTTGTAGAAGGCAAAGATAACCCATTTCTTTCCCTTCCTTGTCCCCATTCCTTTGCCAGGTGACTTTGCAATATGGTAATTTCCCCCCCATGGGAAACCTGCTCTGCCCCTTGACTCTGGGCTCAGCCACGTGACTTATTTTGGCCAGTAGGGTGTTAGCACACATGATGCAATCAGAGGCTTGGAATGGACTTCTATACTGGAGCTTTCTGTCTTGTAGCTTCACCATTACCATGAACACCTGGGGTTAGTCTGCTGAAGAGTAGCAGACATGTAGAACATAGCCAAGTCACCTACTCAGCCCAGGAAGGAAACAGCAAGCTATCCCCCTGATAGGTGTAGATCTCCACAGAGAGCAGAAGAACCACCCAGCTGAGCCCAGCACAAATTCCCAACCTTTAAAAGCCTCATATATGTGTTTATTGATTTAAGTCACTGAGCATGAGTAGCTATGTTAGGTAATGCTACTTTGGTACTAGATTAACCTTAAACATGGTCCTGTCTACCAGACACTCCTGTGGTGGCACTGTCTAATCTAGTTTTCTATCTCATCTCCTCCGTGTTGATGATACTCTCACACTTTCTGGCACCATCTCACTTACTCACTGCCAGGAGTTTCCTCCTGACTCAAGATTTCCAAGGCTTTTCAACACTTTCCTTCTCTTGACTTCATCTCTCTTATTACCCTGTTAGCAGTCAGACCCTCTCTTTGCCCTTGGCGAAATATGTAAGCAAATGATTCAATCTTATAACTTCTCAATAAGTTTCCTTCATCCTTTCACTCTTTAAACTAGATTCATTATAACACAGCTGGCAGCAGCAAAAGTATTTTATTACTCTGAAAGAGTTTGAAATAAATTTTGAAATAAATTTTCTTCAAAATTCTCTAACCCAATGTGGGAGCTGAAGAAACAAGCACAATGGGTGGGAAGGAGCTGATTGGCAGAGACATTTTTAATATACTTTTATGCAAAAGGATACATCTATAGTTTGTATCAAACTTGACACTTGAGTCTTAACTGCAATAGCTAATTTCTCCCCAAACCACTGTAATAATATATATTCAGATGAGGACTCCCTTGTTTCCATGAATGGATTTATGAAGCATACACACAGTAGGATTCCCTTTGCTGAGTTTATTCATGCCTTTGATATATGGGAGTATTCCCTTTTGCTTTTTTCCTTACTTCCACAAAAGCTCTAAAGTAACCCTGAAATTATTGCAACTTAGTGAAGATTTTGCTGGGGAAGCAGAGAGTGGAGTCATTTTGCAAACATTTCATGAACTCCTCTTTCATCTTTTCTAGTCTGTATCCAAATTCCTCCTAATGTTTTTGTCCTAGAGAGAGGTGATTCATAAACAAACACAAAAATCAGTATTAAAGCTCCAAGGTTTAATATTATTTGGATAACAGCGTGTGACATAAAATTGGAGAGATGTTATTTCCTTACTTTTCCTTGAAATATAAGATAGCTTCAGAGATTGAGGACTCCAGAATTGCTAGTGCTACCTCACAGCCTCTTGTGTTCAGTTTGGGGACGGATTCCTGCTATTCTTAGAACAGCATAGCATTCAACAAGAGTACATCTGAAGGGGATTCCAGAGATGACAGTGACACCTTTCTGGAACTTCCCTCACATTTGAAGCCTTAGTAGACATCACTGGGGTGGACTGGAGAGGAAAGGGAAGAAAATGGAGCTAGCTGTTCAGCTTCTGATAACATTTGTTTGCAAGCAAGCCCAGAGCACACCTGCAAATATGTATGTGACCTGTTTTACAGTTTTGGGCTAGGGCTGGGTTTGAACCCACCACCTCCAGTATATGGGGCCAGTGCCCTTCTCCTTTGAGCCACAAGTGCCACCCATAAGTGACCTGTTTTAAGGAGGGTCTGCAATGTTAGAGTGAAAGCCGGTGAAGTAAATGTTATCCCTGGTTGTGAAGGAAAAGGTCTTCTTATATATAAATAAAAAGACTCTATGGACTGGAAGTTCAACTTTTCCCAAACTTGAATTCCCCTACTAGGTATATATCCAAACTCCTTAATTTTGAGTGGTATTACTTTTTGCAATCATCCATTTGTCTTCACTTAATTGCAGGCACTTGGTAGTATACATAAGAGAATGAAGCGACAGTGTGGGTCATAAAATACTCATGTCAGATTCTAATTTTTATTCTAGAGTCAAGTAATAAAATGGAAATAAGGGAAAAATATTCTAAAATGAGTCATAAGATCCACAAAGGTCTGAAAAATAATTTTTAACTCTCAGACCATATTAGAATATACATAAGCTAATGAATCATCTATCAGTGCTACTCTTCAGAGTATGAACAAATGGCACTTCCACTGGAGGAAAGTGAAATTTACTCATCTCTGAAGAAAACCACTTAGATGCAGAACAAGTGACAAAGAGTTCACTGGCACCCAGATAGCTACCTTCACACCTGTCTCCAGTGCTATGAACTGGCCTCTCTACAGAAGCCCTTCCCTATTTCTGCACAATGCAAACATAAGACTAGACATAAATAAGATTTAGAGGTAAATTGTTGCAAAGATGCTATCATAACCACATTCAAAGACAAGGAACTATAAAAGCGAAGCAATGCTACTAAAAGCATTTGCCCCTTTAAGGGGAAGAAGAGTTAACTTGGTTATTCTGAATTCATTGCACAGGGAAGAGATGGATATTATTGAAAGTGAAAGAAAGAGAGAAAATGAACTAGATCACCATGGCCTAGAGCTGGTGGTTACTGACACACAACCTTTCTATCAGACACTCTAGAGCCTGTGCCCACACCCTGATCTCTACTCCTCCCTTGGTTTCTGTTTGATTTTTCTTTGAATGCCCTTTTCACTGACTCCCTTTGGACGTCTGTCATTGGTCTAATGCAAAGTTTGAAGTGCCATTGGGCTGACTTTTAGCAAAGATCCATGAGTATAGAAGAGTGAAAGGTGAGCTCTTTTGCCCCTAGTCAGGACAAATTCTGAGATGTGATTTATTCTCTAGAGCTCCCCTGGTGGGGATGAGGCCAGGGCTGGTGGAAATTACACCCTTGGTCTGTGTCTTCCCCTCCTCCCGTCTTGCCCTCCACCCACTGGTTTCTGCTGGGGGCACTTCCTTCATAAAACCCTGAGAAATGCTTTTTTAGGACCAGCTCATAAGGACCCAGGCTAATATGCTCTCCAATGATAGCACGTTGATCCACATATTCAGCGGTTCTCTGCTCAGTGAGGTAACCAATTTCTCATTGTAAACTCTTGCTGGTAGCACCAAACACGTTTCCTCAGAACATCCAAGGAAGATGCAGAAGGCAACAACTGGGATGATAGTGAGCCTCAGTCTTCCAAAGACAGGAATAAAAAATCACATTTTTAACTTTAATATGTTTAGGGAGACTGATAAATTGACTTCTCTGATAGACAGCAAACTACCTCCTTGCAGGCAACAGCAGCTAACAGCTCTTTCACCTCCCACCAGAACCTAGATAAGTTGGAGAGGACCTGAAAGCTAATCCTCAGACTGTGAGAAAGTTGTCATAATCAGCTTACTCAGAATGTTTCTGGGTGTATTGGCTACCATTTTTATGGGTATAGGAGAATTGGGAGGTACCAGGTGGTGAATTTACATAACCACAGTGAAGATATCTAAATTCTCCTAGGCTAGAGCTTAGAGTCCCAGGTGCTGATAAGAGGAGAAAATGCAAATATTACTTCCCTTTACATTTCTTCCTTCTTTTTCCTCTTCCTTCTCTCCCATTCCCCTCCTTTTCCATCCCTCCCTCCGCCCTCCATCTTTCCCTCCCTCTCTCCGTCCTTCCCTCTCTCTGTCCTTCCCACTCTTCCTCCCTCCATCCCCCCCTTCATCTCTTCTTCCCTCCCTCCCTCCTTTCTTTTTTCCCTTCCTTCCAACAGAAAGCACTCAGTCTGTGTTTTCTCCCTCTTACTTTCCTGAAGGAAGAGTAGGAATGATCATCAATGGAAAATGGCAACAAAGCAATGCCAAGACCCAGCTTCACGCTCAGGAGAAAATGCCATGGCCTCTTCTCGCAAGTTCCAGGGCTTTACACATCCAGGGAAACTTCTCTAGCAATCAACTACAGAAATTATACTGAAAGTATCATCTTTCTCTCAAGTTTCCTAAGCAAAGTTTCTTAGACAGAGTGTACCTAGTCAAATTTATTTTCATTGAGGATGTAAATAGACTTTTCATGAGGAAACAGGTTTTTTTTTCAATTTGCAGAACTTCTTAGAACCTTTATTTTGCAAATCTTTTAATACAACCATTTCCAAACTTAGTGGTTATAAAACTCTGTTTTTCAGAACATCTTGGTTGCTGTACACAAGACTGTGAACTGATTAGATTTCTCTTTTCCTTCATCTACTTTATCTTTTTCTTTTGATGCTTCATTTGATTCTTCATCTTGTAGAAAATAAATATGAGAAGCATAGGTATCTATTAGTCTCCTATTCACCTGTTGTGGTGAACTTAGACATCTTTTCTACAGAAATTCAGAATGTATTTCTTGCGGGGGGGGAAATGGGGTTGATGATGGTCTCATACTTGTTATGGGGGGGGATGGGGTTGATGATGCTCTGAAATAGTCTCATACTTGTTATGGGGGGAGGGAGTTGATGATGCTCTGAAATAGTCTTATACTCATTATGGGGGTAGGGGGTTGATGATGCTCTGAAATGGTCTCATACTTGTTATTGGGGGATGGGGTTGATGATGCTCTGAAATGGTCTCATACTTGTTATGGGGGGAGGGAGTTGATCATGCTCTGAAATGGTCTCATACTTGTTATGGGGGGAGGGAGTTGATTATGCTCTGAAATGGTCTCACTCTTGTTATTGGGGGGATGGGGTTGATGATGCTCTGAAATGGTCTCATACTTGTTATGGGGGGAAGGGGTCGATGATGCTCTGAAATGGTCTCATACTTGGTATGGGGGGATGGGGTCGATGATGCTCTGAAATGGTCTCATACTTGTTATTGGGGGAGGGGGTTGATGATGCTCTGAAATGGTCTCATACTTGTTATGGGGGGAGGGAGTTG